CCAAACAACCAAATAAGGATCAAATATGAAAGAAGTCATTGACTTCGCTTATTTGGGGGTTCATACAAGTATACCTTAGGTATCAAATTGATATAAGGGTAGCACATAGAACTCCAGCCTACAATCAATGATCATTCAACAAACAACATCTGCATCCATCAGGGTGCCATAAACTTCAGTTCCCAAGGTGGAAGCCCTCAATAAAACACTGTCATAAAAGCCAAACCACTGTAATAATGACAATATTAAAAAAAAACACTGATTACTAACAATGGTTTTACTAACAATGGTTTTACTAACATGACACATCATGACACTAATTACTAACAGTCAATGGTTTAGGCCCTCTGATAACTGGAAACCACCAGTTGTTTGCAGCGACACAGCGACACAGGGCCCGACCTGCCGACATCTGCCGACACAGGTCACTACGATGGTGGCTAAACCATGGCTTTTGCCATAGGAAAACCATAGGAAAATGGATCAACTGTCCCCAAGATCAGCAGTTTTATGGCTATTTTTCCCATTATAAAGCCTCCAAAAATGCTAGCTTTCCCGAATTGGGTTGACCAGATTGATCTTGAATGCCCAAAATATTCAAAAAAACACGCTCACTTGGAAGTGCAATAATTCAATGTATAACCACAATTATAGTGTTTAATATTCATTTCCCAACTTGAAGGAGGATTCAATCCCATGGTTGCAGCCATTTGTAATCCTCACCTCAAGTGACCAAAGTCAACACAAGGACGTCATGCCCTGGCCCATCATTCCACTTGAATTAATGCTCTCTAGGCAGCTAAAACATCTAAAACCCAAACAAAATATCACACAATTCAAACGTCCATTGTCTAAGTGTCCAACCTCGAAAATCAACTTCGAAACACATCTTTTGTTACACTTCCAATGTGAGTTGTGTTTATGGTTTCTGAAACAGGGCACCACTGGCACCATTCGTCCACAGTTCGGGCCCCTGTCAATATCCATCATCCGCTGCACCGCGCGCATACATTCGTCCGTCCCGGCGCTCGTCCCGGCGCTCGTAGCGCTCGTAGCGCTCGTCCCGGCGCTCGTCCCGGCGCTCGTCCCGGCGCTCGTAGCGGTCCTCCAAACGATCCTGACGGGGGAGGATGAATTGAATGTAATGTGTAATGTGGGTAAAACAATGTCATTGGCACCACCCATGACTGGAAATGGTTTATATATATATATATATACATCTATATATACCCTATAAAAATGGTGATGACTGGGGGATGGTTCAAATATGTTCAAATGGCATTGTTTTACCCAGGTTCCAGAAATTCCCATGGGACCCATAGGCTGCCATGGCGCCTCCCGACGCTTTGGCGCTTTGGGCTTTGGTGCTGGTGCCCTCGAATCCATGGAATCGAAATCACCTAACGGCCCTTGTGGGCCCAAGGGCGGCCCAAGGGGGCCGCCCTTGGCAGAGATTAAACTGAAAGCCGGGGACCAAATAAAAAAATATAAACAGTTAGGATTTCAATAGATGTCATCATAATTTCAACTGATTTCATCTGATTTATTTCGAAAAAAAGTTCTTGTTGGATTCCAAGTTTGAGGAGACCAGAGGCTCTTGACTCCAACCCAGTTGGGGAAATCTTCCCGATTTCCAACGGCTGGCCATGTGCTACTTGGGCTTGATTCCCACTTAGTAAATGGGTTATACCATGTTGTACCACCAGTTGTACCACAGATCCGAAAAAAATCCCTATGTGTGGGATATATGGATTATAAATATTTATAAATCACTAACTGGGGCCCTCACATCCAAGTCGTATTCCAGCGATTTAAACAGGCCAAGGAGCTCTCGCGAGAATCCTTGCCGCGCCGTGCTTTCTTCTTCCGAGGCGCCTCACCTTCCAAGGCTTCCAAGGGGCGCGGCGAGAAGGCGCAGATTTCGATAAGTTTCTGATTGATTTCTAAGTGATGTGCAGAAATTGCTGATGATTTAAATTTAGATTTTTCGATATGGATCTTTGATGATCTTTGAGCTTTTTGAGATTTCCCGATCACAATGATCTTTTATGATGATGTGTCATGATTCAATTTCTAATGGTTTTTGCGATGCTTGTTCAATTCTTCTATTAGACCTCACAACAAAAGGCAACAATTTTCTGATTCCAACATAGTGAATTCCCGTAAATGTCCTTCGAGTTGTGAATTCTTGACGCGTTCCATCATCAAGAACTGGGGCGCTGGGCCTCCCCTGTGCATCACAAATTGTGGGATCCGACCATCCCAGTCTTATGGATAGAAAGCACAATATGTATATAACTGTATATATATATAAATATATATATATGCTAGATGAAGTATGATGATTCACTAATGTGGTAAACCCAATGCCATAAACCTACCATTTGGGGATGATGGTTACCACCCATAAAAATGGTGAGAAACAGGGACGGCTTGTGAAATTGGGTTTACCACATTGACGTGAGAATAACTAAAACAAGACGTTTGGAATGATTCCCTTAATCCTAACCATCATTCTACTGGCATCACAGTGAGGTCATTACAATTCATCCAAATATGGACTATGCATGGACTCAGCTTTGATGAAGCGTGGCACAGGAATACTCTAACTCCAAATATACATTTGGAACCACCAAGCGCCTCATTTGATGATATATCTGGGTAAATTATAATATTTCACTAACCTGAATTAAGGCCATTTGGGGATGATTTCCCTTATTAACCATGATTCCAGGGTTCGGGAGAACAGTGAGGTCGTTATAATTTACCTAGATATATGATGTGATGTCTGGATACGTTGCAACAAACATGCGGTCCGCAACAAAACCCAGGGCTCCCAGCCGTCTTTGGCTTCTCTCTTGGAACGATCCTGGCAAAAAAGCTGGCTAGCTAGCTACTAGATAAGTAACTAAGTAACCACCTTTCTCTTGTCAATTATTTAAGTATGTCTAGTTCTATGCATATTATATATATTATATATAAATATAACTGTATATATAAATATTAGATAATACATGATAATACTAGTATATAACACATTGATCGTAAGTCACCCTTTTTTGCTAAATCCGTGTTTTTTTTCCTTTTGTGCTTACTAGCTGCTGGCTAAACCCCCATGCCTTCGTGGAAGTGGCGGAGGCAAACCTCAGGCTGGCGGTTGCTGGCGGTGATATGTTCACTGAATCTGGGCTTTGATTCTGCGTATATGTAAAAATAATCGTGAAGTAGGGAGACTATAGAAACTGCAAAGAATCCTATATGAAATGGAAATATATTGAAAGCTACCTATTGTCTATCTACTTCAGGATGATGTAAAGGCCCTGCTGGCGTAGTAAATCCAGACTAAATTTGGTTCCAATGATTTCGCAGTGAAGTCATCATAATATATCCAATATGCATACTGTACATAATAATATATATATGTGATACATATTCATTGTAATAGGCTATGATTGTAAACACTTAAAAACTATGATTATAGTCTCAATCATAATAATTTTCTGATATTCTATATTTGAAGCAGGAACTAAGCAAAATAAAATCTACAAATTAAGGAACCACTACAATAACAAATTCAATAGTGTTTAATGCATGCACAAACAACCTACCGGATGGAAATATCGACGTATTCTCAATATGCCATTAATATTGAGTTTTGTTCATGATATATGAATTTGCAATTAAAATCAAAAAACAACAAACAATTGAGTTTAAACATTCCAAGTGCAAACTCATAATGAATTGCGTTGCTCCACGCGAAAAAAGAAATGCGAAGGTTGGTTGATAGGATTTCCCCTAATCGGAGCGTGATATCCCCAGCATGTTGGTTAGTACAATAGGTTAGACATTGGGGAATTAGATATCATATCCTTCCTCACTAGGTGGTTTCAACCCCTCTGAAAAATATGAGTTCGTCAGTTGGGAGTATTTTTCCCAATATAAGGGAAAATAAAATGCATGTTCCAAACCACCAACCAGGATATCCTTCCTCACTAGTATATTGGCTAGCAAAATCCCCTACAATCAACCATTCCGAAGGTTTAGCAGCCACTGCTCAATTGAGGTCGATTGCTGGATCATCTTCGCAGGCATTGATGAAAAACATTTCCAACCACCGACCAGAAATGGATTATAAAAAAATTGAATCTGAAGTCATGGAAAAGGAACCATGGAAAATTCCAATCATTTCAATCTAGGTGATTGACATTGATTTACCCTCTGGTAATTTAACATAGCTATTGAAAATGACCATTTATAGTGGATTTTCCCATTAAAAATGCTGATGTTCCATAGTTATGTTAGTTTACCAGAGGGTAGCCATGACATCTCACAGTGTTGGTCATGTTCGGAAATCGCTTTTTCTGCAAGGTTTCCATCCAGTCATGACGCTTTGTCCCCCCAGTTCTCATCCATTTTTTGGGGGGCATGTTCCATGAAACCATCAAGCTATTGGGCTACCCTCTGGTGAACTAACATAGCTATTGAAAATGGCCATTTATAGTGGATTTACCCACTAAAAATGGTGAGTTTCAACAGCTATGTTAGTTCACCAGAGGGTACCAGGAGCACAAAAGCCTCCAGCTGCTTCCGAGTTGCGTATTGAAATGGCACGACTCCTCAGACAACCGGCACGATATCGCGCTTGATCCAGCCCTATAAATAACAGACATATATGAGGCCCTATCATATATATGTATATTATGACCTTGGACATGTCCTGTTGTAGGAACATTATGAGATTTTGGATGATGTTCATATCTTAGTGGAACGAAATGTAGGAGTTCTTGAAAGTAGTTGAGGAAAATGACATGTTCGTATCATTTCATATCTATTGTGAGTTGTTGAGAAGAAAAGAAACAAATGTGGGAGAATGACACCATGTTGCACCAGTTGCATGCCTCAATGCTTGTCCATTCCCTGCTTGTTGGCTGATCGTGGGGATGTCAAAAACTATGAGACTACAGTAACGAGGTGAATATCTCAGCATCCCGATGTCTGATTCACATCCTCAGTTGTTGGGGTTGCCATATGTTGCCATCAGAAATAGCCGGCTCCCAAAACGCCGTTCGTAAAACGACACGTTGAAAACGATGAAACCGAGAGACGCTCTGCAGGGCTTTCTGTTGCTTTGAAGAGAAGAGGTGCAAATTCGCGAGAACCGAGGCCTTCATTTTTGTTCCTCGTCGACGCGGCCAATGTTGGATGATGGTTGATGTTGGGCCATGCAAAAGTGCAATTTTAACAAAAGAAAAAACAGTAGCAACTGGGGGTCAGAATGCCACCAGAAACCTTGCTGCATGTCTGATTTCCGGCTTAAGTCATGGGTCATTAAATGTCCCCATTGAACATCACCCAACCATTATAAGGTGATGTCCAATATTCCCAAAATGGGACATTTACCAACCCCTGTAAGTGGCTTACCAACATCTGTTGGTTCTGCTGACCAACTCGCCTATCGTGACTGAAAGGCATTCTGGGACCTTCTCGGATTGTGTGCTATATGTATATGCCCTCAATCTCCCGACACCTGAACCTTTCACCTCGCCATTGTATATGGATATGGGTCAAAACCCTGGTACCCCTGGTGAACATCGAAATAGCTGGGATTTATGGATGTGAATAACCCACTAAAAATGTATCTATAGGTATTGACCCATACCCATATGAGTTTGTCCAATAATAGGGTACCCTCTGGTAAATTAACATAGACCCTGGCAGTTGTCGGGGTTGGAAGATTAGTTTCCATTAGAACTAGGCTATTTTCAGGGTCTATGTTTATTTACCAGAGGCTACTTCGAAAAGTTTCTCGCTAAGCCTTAATTTTCTCTCTTTTTTTCTCGGCATGTTTTGGGGGTATAACACCCATGATTCCCATCGGTCAGGTTGCTCCAGATGCCACTTGTGATCCCCCACCCCAGCTGGGAATAGCACCCTCTCGTAGCTCTCATCAGCTCTATGGTTTGCTGGAAAATCCCCCAAATATCAGCAATTATTGACAAATTAATTATTGATGGTTTTCCATAATGATAGATGATTTGCCATAATTATCGATGGCAATACCCCAACTATCGTGAATTTCCCAGCCAGCCATGCCATCATTACCAGATGACTCCCACGATCTTTCTAGACGATGTGAACACCCCACTACGCTTGTTGTCTGAGCAAGACAAAATGTGCTGAAAAAAGAATGTGCAGGTCAAAATTCAAACGCTTAAATACCACCACGTGTCTTATTAATGTGCTAATCCCATCCCCAAATATCCTGAACACCTCCTAAATGATTCCAGATACCCTCTTACATAACGAACTGGAAAGATCCACCATGCGTTTTCAATGGGTAAATCCACTATTTCGACTGGGCCATGGCTTCCAGTTCGCGAACTGTAACAGTCATTACCGAAGGGTAACTGTCATCCCCTACCATGGGGATTGGGGAGACCTCCATGGATCTCCCATGGGTCGCCTATCTCGGCCGGCACATCGGAAATGAAGACCTTGTCCTTGGTTCATGGGGAAAACGGAGGATTCACCAGTGGGATTTAGGGTACCCTCTGGTTATGTCAAAATAGCTATTGAAAATGGCCATTGATAGTAGATTTTCCCATTAAAAATGGTGATTTCCCATAGCTATGTTAGTTTACCAGAGGATATCATATTTTCAAAGCCGTTGTTTCTGGAGAGACAGCCCAAGACTTCATGGAAACGACAGTCTTTGCAAAGATACTGTATCAATATCAGCTACCCGGTCCGGACTCTTTCGTTGCATGATACTCCTGTTTTTTGAACTCCCACATCTGTTGGTTTCCCCAAGCCCCAAAAAAAACAATGTCGTCACTATGGGTCCACAATTTTGAGAACTTGAACATGTAACATGTGAGTCTAAAGTGCCATACACTGCAACGTTGTAGACCACCAACTTGCACGGTGCAAGTCCAATCAAGCCCCAAATTCCATTTGGGAATGGGTCAAAACTAAACTACCCAAAAAAAAATGGAAGGTTAATACTAAAGATGACCCGGGTGGTCTTTGACAAATGTTGATTTCAACTTCCACACCATGGCAGCCCTAATAGCCTATTCCTCCTCCTCGGTGTCACAGACCGAGGATGTGGCCATGATCAAATCGAAGAAGGCATTCGCCTTGATGGTCTTCCTGAGCGGCGCCGTGAAATGTCGGTGAAGTTCCAGGGATTTTTTGCCGTTGTAACGACATGTAACGACATTTGACACATTTTGGGGGGTTTCTGAAATATCTAAAATCTGGCTACTCAGCTGGACACTGAAATTCGTAGAGTTGTATTGACATACTATGGGAGTTTCCTAAAATCTGAGTACCCAGCCGGATGGTTTATCATGGAAAAGCTATGAATATCCGACAATAAAAATCATGAAAAACTGGGGGTGCCCCTATTTTAGGAAACCTCCATATCTGCTAATACACACAAAGTGGAATTAACATATAGTGAAATAGGTTTAGTGTCTACCACCAGTCTTACGAATTGTTCACAGCGTTCTTGTCACAGTTTACATATCTGCCAATAACATGTAGACTGAAAGAAGCCCAATGCAAAGCCTGCTTCCTGTGACGTTACTGGAGGTCTCCCAACAGGCCCTGTGGTAAAAAGTAGCAACAGTAGCAAAAAATCTAGAAGTTTGGTTTATTTATGTAAATTTCATGGATGCTGATGCTTGATTATGCAAAGCAGCGGCCTGCTGCCAATCGTCAACTCCGCTTGAAGGTGCAGATATCAAACCAATCCGATTCAAAATGACTTGGGCACTGCCAGTATCAAACCTCTGGTGTCAATCATATCAAGTATGCAGTAGACTTAGTAGAAAGGAGGACCATACTATATCTTCATGGATTTTGTGTATATGTGATATATGTGTTTATATGGCTCCCAGACTTACACCATGCCAAAATAGAAGTCCAAAACTCGGTTTCTCCAATCTCAACCATCACTTGACTGTCAAAACAATCGGCACCATGACCAATCATCCATGATTTTCTGGGGGCTGTTACCCTCTGGTAATTTAACATAGTTATTGAAAATGACCATTTATAGTGGATTTTCCCATTGAAAATGGTGATTTTCCATAGTTATGTAAACGTTTACCAGAGGGTATATGATTTTGGCCCACAACCATTTTAAAAAAAAAACACACAGCTCGTAGACCTCGTAGGTCTACCACTGAACTCTGGAGACCAGGAAAAACGGACTGGTTACAACTCCAAATCAACCTACCCTGATAGTTGTCACAAATGGGGATTTCCACAAATGGGGGGTATCCAAAATGGCTGCTTTATCCATGGAAAATCCGAATCTATAAATGGATGATAACTGGGGGTAGCCCTATTTATCCTATTTCAGGAAACAACCATTTAAGTGTCCGTGAACTCTGCGCAGATCCTAAAAATGCTGAGAAAACCATGCCCCCATCAGGGTGTCTACGAATCAAAACATGTTCCAAGGGTTCCCATTTTTTTGAAGTCTTCAACAGGTTTTTTCATTTGGAACCCGCCATTCCCCCCCAAAAAAATGGCCTATCATTTAACAGTACCAATGTGCTCCAAAAACTATGACTGTCTACCAAGCAGTTTCATGTGCTTTCTTGGATTGCGGAATGTCTGGATTAGTATGATGGGTAAAAAAATCAAGACAAACCCGGTTGATTCGTACAATGCTGGGTTGTGAATTATGTATCTGTTTCTGGTGTGGAATTCTGACCCATGCCCCACAGTCACAGTCAGCAGCCACACAGAACAGGGTTGCTCCCAACATCCCAGATACAAGGGGATCCAAGGGTAAATTGGCTGAGAAGTAAAATCACCCACTTCCACCCCTTGTGTCTTGTGGGAATCATTCTCCATGATATGGAGCAACCCAAATCAGAGAGAGGACACCAAAAAACCGAACATTCCTGGACCTTGCGATCAACCACCGCTCCTGCCGACCATGATCATGCCCTTCTGCAGCCACTTCAAACGCTTGTCCGGCCGTTTCTGGATGATGTTTTCCAGTTTCCTCAGGCAGTTTGACTCAAAAACTTGTGCAAAAAGCTAGTTTTTAAGAATCTATAGTAGGAAAACAACCACATATATATATGAGGGTTTCCATAATTTGTGGTACCCCAAATGGATCCAAAAAGTTGGTTCATAATGGAAAAACAATCTATAAATGGATGATTTATATGATTTGGGGGTACCCATATTTTAGGAAACCCCCATTTATTTAAAAAAAATACATGCGACCCTTTGTGGGAAATCTGAACCAGAGCCACTTTGGGAGGCTTCACAGTTGGTTGGGTAGCGGATGCAATGTCTGACCTTTGCGACTGCTGATGGCTTCTATAGCTGCAAGTTCGGTGAATACAAAAAGAAATGAACCAAATACCCTCTGGTAATCAAACATGTCAATGGGAAATCCTCTATAAATGGTGGGTTTTCCATTGCATATGCTTTATTACCAGAGAGTAATCCATGCAAGGCATTTCTGAATATATGTATAGCCGTCCATGGAGTCCATGGTGGTTTGAAAGTTGAAGCATAGTCCATGAGAAAATCACTGGATCCGTCAGACTACCCACACAATCCGACCAGGCATAGAGTCTATAGAGAACTGCCTGCAAGTTCTCGTGCACTCCTCGAAGTCACCATTGAAATATATTAACATCTATTTCAGGTGATATTTCTGCACATATTTCAGCTGAGCCACATCTCGAATTCAGCCGCTTCTTCCTTTTCTCGCTCTTCACGTTCATCCTTTTTCCTCCTTCAGATGGGAACCTCCAAGGTGGTCCCCCATTGAATGAACAGAAAATCTGCAGGATTCATATTGGAACTAAAAGAAATGGGAAAAAAAACATGATTCTGAGTTTTCTGCATATCCATATAACATTATGTATATATATATATACAGTATATATATATATATATGGGGTCTCTTACATTCCAATGGTCATCCACGACCGGATGATGCTACAAACCCCGGTCCCCCCGTTTTGTGATCGGATCGTCGTCCTGGGCGGACTCTTGCGCTTGGACCAGGTCATCAATCTGGACCGTTCACCTTCCTGCCAAAAAACAGAAAAAAGTAAACATAGACTCTGGGTAAAATATCCATAGATGGAGGTATATGGTACCCTCTGGTAATTTGTAACATAGCTATTGAAAATGGCCATAGAAATGGTTGATTTATCCATTAAAAATGGTGATTTTGCACAGTTGTGTAAACGTTTACCAGAGGGTACATCGCCGATATCTATCTTCGGCAATAAATAGACTTTGGGATGAACTGGGATGTTTTTTGATCCGTATCCCGAGATTTTGTGCCAGAAACTCATCTCAAAACACCCCAAAACAAATCAATAATCATCGAAAATCATCTCAAAACATCAGCAAAATTCATCTCGAACATGGCCAACCGGCTTCCGGCTCCCGCCCCCGCCTTCTCATGCGCCTGTCGCAGGGCTTCCGCCTTGGACAGGACCACAGAGCCACTGTCGCGGTAGCCCAGCGTCGCCATGCCTGGCGTGTGCAGCGTCAAAACCTGAACAAACAGTGAATTTACCATTTGGTTATGACTAACATAGCCATGGAAAATCACCATCTTTAATAGGTGAACCATCTATAAATTGGCCATTTTCCATGGCTATGTTAAATACCCAGTGAATTTAATGAGGTTTGATGGGAAATTCATGGTGATTTCATGGGAGTTCATGGCGAATTAATGGTGGTTTTTCATGGCATTCAATGGTGAAGGGGTATATACTGGGATTATACTACTTAACAGGTACGTAATGGTTATATTCATGGGATATACACCCAACATAGTGGCGATTAGGCCACCAAACTATGTTTTGCCGAACCAATTATAAATGTTATATAACAATATCATATAACACTCTCGTTATGCTTCAACAGGTTTATTTAATCGATTAACCAACATATTGATAAATCAACATCTTGATTAACCAACATAATACCAGCATGTATAATATATATATATGTATATATATACATATATTATCATATATTGATTGATTGATCAATGTAGATAAATGATGATAAACCCATTGTATAGGGTCTAGGAAATATTCCCAATGCTCCAATAAACCCAAAACCTATCGCCATTTTAGCACATGTGCTAGGGTTAAGTTGCAGACTATATGGAGCTTTCCTAAAATAGGGGTACCCCTGTTCATCATCCATTTTCATAGGATTTCCCCTCAACAAAAACCATCTAGCTATTGGGATATCCACTCCAGAAACCCCCATATGGTTATGTTATGGTCATCCCATATCATTCGCCATGGGCACATCCCTGTGGCTGACCATACCAAACATGGACACAACAGGGGGAGGACTTGGAGCACTTCACAGGAGAGATTCCCGCAATATTTTTTGCGGAAAATCTCCTGTTTGAGGTCGTTTTGAGATGTTTTGAGGTTGCAATATGTTGCAATGATTTGCCCCGATGTCTAGAAAAAATGAACTTGAACTAGCTGTTTTTTTTGCTTGAATTATCACCGTACCACCGTCATCGCCAAATTGCCGGCCTTGTCACAGTGGCAGCACCACAGCACAGTGGCGAGGAAACACCGATATTGACAGCGGTTCTCAGAGTTGATGATCTGGTCATGAAGCAGGAATCTCGCAACATGAACCTTGTGCTGCATGCAATTTACTTCCAGATCCAGTTCGTTTTTTCTGAATTCGGAGAATGCTCAGCACTAAGCTTCTGTTGTGACTGAAAATTCTATCATTTTGCTTTGCCATTCATTTCTATTGGATGCATCGACACCGTGACACCACTGCCGGGCACCACGAAAGATCTCGCCGTCACCCTGTGAAGGGTTGGTTCTTGGAATCTGTCAACGGCTACGGTGCGAATTTCCAGTCCTGAAAAACCGTCTGCGATGGAAGCCATGGCCCATAAAAATGGATGATAAACATGATGATTTACCGAACTTGAAAATGGATGAACATGGTGCTTTCCAGTTGGCTATCTGAAATTACCAGAGGGTAACTGTCCACATCTGTCCACATAAAACTTGTTTTTGTACGAACCTAAGCCTCAGCCAACAGAGGTTTTGGGCATTGCCTACCTGACTCTTTTTTTTTGCACATAGACTCATTAGACCACATCAGATCCCATGGACCTTGTTACCTTTGATTCGGACCATGACCAAAAACCATCCAAAACCAATGGACGGGGACGAAAGATTCGCCATCAAAACTGTGTCCAACCGATGCAGGAACGGTTGAAGAGGGCTCAGGGATCTTCAAAAAATTGCGTCTCATGTTCTTTAAATCCCTTTGACCATCTTAAATGCTGAAAAAAATGTATTTCTGATATACATCAACAATTCATACCAGGGGCCACATTTCAGCTTTGACCAAGACTGACCCTCTTTCCAACTATCCTATGGGAGACCCCACTGAGACACCCACCTTTTTGGGGTCTGGTCTTGGTGTTGGTGAAAAATCTCCCCAAAATTATCCCACCAGTTGGTGAAATTCCCAAAATCCAGAAAGTCTCATTTTTGGATGGAAAAAATAGCTCCAAAATATGGGTGAAATTCATGATTTATATGGTACAGTATCTCCAGACCGGTATATCATGGAATTGGATGATGGGATTTTTTTTACCGGAAACCCCTATACAGTATTTGATGGTAAAAACCATGGTTTCCGGTTCAGATTTTCCCCAACAAACCAATCCATGGAGTATACCTTAAAATGGCCATTCATATCTCTCACTCCGACTTACACCTTGACAAAAAAAGATGCGTCCCCGACGCATCGGCCATGCCCTGCACGAGAGCCCTCTCGAAGTTGTTCCGCTGCCTGTGGTGCAACAACTCCAGTGAATGTTCACCCAGTTTGCTAATAGGAGAGCCATCAATTTTGATAGTCGTGTTTATGTCTTGTAAATTGAGTCTTAAAGAGGTTTTATCAATTAGGAGTTGACATTCTGCATTAGTAAGGCTCAAAAGTAGGCATCCCCAGAAAACGGTTCATATAAAAATGACTAAAATCTATGAGCCTTGATTTTTGACCTCTATCTCATATATCATCACTGGATTGTATTTTAACTAATCTATGCCTTGATGGCGCATAGTCCAATCTATTGGGGTTTTAACTGGGTTTTGGTTTAGTTCATCTGAGTTCATCTACATCACAACTCATCACTATCCAACCACACAGAAGGGATGTTTACGCTCCGATATTCCCAGATTCCCAGATGTTTAGTGACGCACAAATCCAAGATGTGTCGTTTTGCTCGTATCCTACTGAGACAATCGTTACGGCACCAAAGTAGGTCGCAAAGGTTAAAAAAAAACAACAACAACACAGATTGTGTTGTTTCCACAATTCAGCCGTCCCGTTTTTCAACGCTAGCAATGCTAATGGTTGTGTAATTAGCCGCAATTCTAGGGAATGGTGTGGCCATCAGTGTGCGGTATCCACAGTAATCCGAATTGTTACTATAGAATTATGGAAGGTAGCCTAGTAGCCATCTCAAAAGAAAAACATAATTTACCTTATTGATCCTAGTCACATGTTCAATATATTGGTGAACAACATTGGTTCACCCTGCTTATCACCCAGCTATACATGTAAAAATCCAGAAATCAGTGGTCAACAAGGCCGTAACCAGCATCTTCAACCGTAACCAGTTGCTACAGTAAGTGGTATAAACGTCATTAAACGTCCATGTATTCCCTTCACCCCATGATTTTTTATCTTCCCCATATGGAACATCAATGAATAGATTCAACATAGGTCAGGGGAGGGACGGACTTCCGCAGCTGATGATTTTGGCGATTTTGGGATCATTCCAGGGCTTCGGGAGAACAGTGAGGTGGCCATAATTTACCCAGACTGAGAATTATATAATTGTATATGTATAATATATATATATATATGTATGTACTGTGTATATATATATATTATATTATATTATAGTATATTACATTATATATATACATTGTCGATCTGTATGTGTATTACATATATCATATATCTACATTTCAAACAATATGTGCCATCCAAATACATCGATAGAAATTGAGACGTTCCCGAAGCCAAGTCTGTCCGCCTCCAAATCTCTCGTGCCATCACCCTCCAGCAGGGCCAAGGCGTGGTGTTGCGCCAGAGCAGCGCGCGAAATCAGGCTGTGAACCTGCAGCGTTTGGGGCCGCACAAAAAACACATGGCTTTTGAAGACCCAAAAGTGAAGATTTTAAGCAAGTAAATGTGGGATTGATGATGATTTAGTTATATGATATGTGTGTAATTGTGGTAAATATCTAAAAAACAACTTAAGTGATTCAGGATATTTAAGTCACAACATTCAGGACAAATTTCAGCCATGTCTAGTTCTTTTACGTCAACGTTGGTAAGTGGCTAGAAACCGGCTGTTGTATCAAAGCCCCTTTTGCCCAGGGCCCCAAGGTTTCACAGCCTTGAGGTCAATATGACTACCCTAAGTCATAGCTGGGATCTATGGATGTTCATCCCCCTTTATACTATGTATGGCCCTATGGCTAAGTAGCCTAAGTCATAGCTGGGATCTATGGATGTTCATCCCCATATAGTTATAATATAGTTATCATAGGTTTTGACGGAATCCCCAGATGTCATAGATCTTGGCATTTGGTATTGAGAAGCCGCGTGTGGCCTTTAAAAAACATGATTTTTTTCGCTGGAAATCCCCAAGGGCAGTGTCATGATTCCCAGCGAACTAAACCGATGACGATGCCACAAAGGACCAGCAACCAGCTGACCAGGTGCAATGATGACATTTTTAAGGGATGTCAGACATTGTGAGCCCTGTTACCCAATGTATCCACATAGTCGTCTCTGAAAATTGGGTGCAAAAAAAACACATATCTGGTTGGTGGTTTCAACCTACCCCTCTGAAAAAAAAACATGACAACTCGTCAGTTGGGATGATGACATTCCCAACTGAATGGAAAGTCATAATCCATTCATGTTCCGTTTCCCACCACCAGATTATATTATATTGGTTTATGAAGTGTTTTTGGTACTTATAACATCTTATAACTATAGTTACTGGGGCTTATAAACCAACTAATAACTGGGGATGTATATGCTTCTTCGTGATCTTCCCCAACGGCCTCATGGAGGTCCGTTTCGTTCTCCACAGGATGGGCCACCATGATACCTGGGAAAAATCGGACGAAAGCAGTGGTCCCAACATAGCTATGTAAGTCATGACCATTTTCGATACAGGATGGTGCCCCCCAGTTATAAGTTGGTTTATAAACCCCATTAACTATAGTTATATCTGCCATAAACCATAGTTATGGGAGTTATAAACCCACGTAGCTAACTACGGGGCACCACCTTGTATTTAAATCAACTATTTCTCTGGTCATTTTTCAATAGCTACGTATGTTAAATTGCCAGAGGGTATTATGTCTGGTATTATGTCTGGTTTTAACATGTGCAATAACCATCTTGAAAAATGATGGAGTTCGTCAATGGGAAGGATTATGTATCCCATATATGAAATAGAAAATAATCCATTCATGTTTGAAACCACCAAGCAGTTTTCCCCAACCACTGCTAGATGAAACGTTCAGAAGCCATGATGGTCAAAATCCAGCAGAATTCAGCCAAATCGGAGCCTCAGCTCAACTGTTTCAGAAAGGGGCTTTCGAGAATAGCCTTCCTCATTGAAATGATGGTTTCCACGCTCAATATATATGTATATATTGCCATATGTATATATATATGTATATATAGTATGGATCTTATATATAGATATAGATATAGATGTAGATATAGATATAAATATAGATATAGATATAGATATAAATATAGATATTAGATATAGATATAGACATAGAATGACATAGATATATATATATATATGTTTCTATATATATATATATGTGTTTCTATATATGCATATTTACATACATATCCATGTACTCTCATTCTTGGTTTATACCACGTGGTGCAAAAAGAAATGGAGCAGCAACAGACCCCGGGGAATCATCGTTTTCCCTATTGGACTTGCCGTCTTCGCGGGACCATGTTCAGACACACCGCGCCATCCATTCTGAACATGGCCTAAAGATGATTGTTTCTGATATGCTTTAAAAATGGTGAAAATTTAGGTTTCATTAAATCACATGGTTACCCTCTGGTAAACTTACATAGCTATGGAAAAATGGCCCATGGAAATAGATGGTTTACCTATTAAAAATGGTGATTTTCTATAGCTATGTTAGTCATTACCAGAGGTTATAAATCATAGTTCAATCCTGTTCGCTGTTGAAGCTCCCATTTTTCACCACGTTGAACCTCCCCACGAAATCCACGTTGGGCCCAAGAAACAGCCGTGCAGCGGTGGGGGCTGTGCATCCCAATGCATGAAGCGTTGCAAGGGCTCTCCGGGACCGTGCCTGCGGTCCTGGCCCAATGTGATGATCTGCGGGAGGATATTCTCGAGATCACTGCATGTGGCTCTGTAGTTATAGTATATTATATAATACCATGGTTCATAGACTAAAGGTTAATACCATCTGGTTATGACTAACATAGCCATGGAAAATCCCTTATAAATGGAGGTTTTAATGGGAACATCATCTATAAATGGCCTATTTTCCATGGCTATGTTAAATAACCAGAGGGTATAAAATATATGGCAGTGTGTCAAAACCTTGTACCCCTTTTGTTCACATCAAAATAGCTGGTAAATGGATGTTCATTCCCCTAAAAATGGTATTAATAGGTATTGATCCATACCCATATGGTCATTTACATTGTCATTTACATGGTCATTTACAACAACCTTCTCTGTCCATAAACGGGTCTGAGAGACAGTTTACAGGAAATAATGGAATTAAAGACTGGTTGGTGGTTGACCTACCCCTCTGAAAAATATGAAAGTCAGTTGGGATTATTCTTCCCAATATATGTAAAAATAAAAAATGTTCCAAACCACCAACCAGATATTTTATGGTTTATGGATGTTTTTGGTACTTATAACATCTTATAACCATAGTTACTGGGGCTTATAAACCAACTAATAACTGGGGATTTATATCGGGGGGTCCTTGGTCATGTGGGTACCCGAAACTCGCTGGTTGGTTTATTTCATGGAAAATCCTACTAAAATGGATGATTTAGGGTACAGTACCCCTATTTTTCGAAAACCTCCATATGTGATACAGAGAATTTGTTTGATGTATTTGATTTAGATTTTATGGATTTAGATATGTTGTATTATATGTTGGCTACGCCGGCTGCGCCACTTGATGGTTTTTAGCATACCAACAACATAGCATGTTCAAAGGGAAAATGATGATGAACCAGTAGATTTGGGCATACCCTGTTTTCAGGTTCAACCCGAAACAGCATGCTTCGCCGCATCGGACTCCGAAAGGCAGGGCCATCGCGGTGCGCGAGTTGAAAAACTTCGGGTCAGGTTGGCACTGTCGGATGGTTGTTTCTGTTCCTCAAGTTTTGTGCCAAGTTCTGTTCTGACAGGACAGTAGATAGATGTAGATAGACAGCTAACCGACAACGACTACATCTGGGACTCTTAAATGTTTGCTCATAAGCACATAATCTGCTTATGAAAATGTGGGCAACCACAGCAGGTAGACAACCGTTGACATCGATTTGTCTCAAAATCGGACGCCTCCAAAGTTGATGGTTTGTCTTCATTTTTCCACTGAACATGCCATTTAGGGGGTATGTATAGTACTTATCATACTCAATGGCTTGGTTTAAGGGAACATCTACCCCTGAAACATCCTGAAACGGCTGAAAAATTGTTGTGAATTTTCCCGAATTCGTTCGGCGCCGCAGCTCCGGCGCACCAGCAATTCGTCTCGGGCTTGATGAAAGTTCACCACAATTTCCTGCAGTGGACACAGTGGACCCATGACCAATTGTGCTTTCCATGGTATTTCTCATTGATTTCCTGGCGAAAAATCGAAAAAGCAGGTCCCATGGGAATTTAAGGCTGACTCCAAGTGTCAGCCAGGAAATGGTTTGCCTCTACGGGACGATCCAAGTCATGGAAAAATCCCAATTCTTAGAGGTGGGGCATGTGCATGCTCATTTTTCTTTGCGTTTTAAGCAGGATCATTAATCTTCCACCAAGTCACAAGGCCAAGAGATCGACCTACCCTTCATAGGTAAGCTCGTAAACCCAAGATCATACACCGTAAACCACAAACCCATAACTCACCAGAAATGGCCGGTATAAATCATTCCGAAAAGAAAGTGCATCGTTGGAGGGGACCAGATTGGGGTGATCAAACCCACCACGTTCCAGTCGTGGAAGGGCGTTCAGATATCTAATAAACCACGTTTCCTCAATCTTTTCCATGTTACATTACTTGGAAAGATCCATAAAACTAGTACATGGTTAGCAAGTTATAACATGTTATAACATGTTATAACATGTTGTAACCCACTATATGTTTGAAAGTGTTTTTCGGGATCCGGGGTGTATCCAAGTTTATCTGATTATCGCCATCCGGACCTATCAAACCATCCGGATTATATAATCAATACTATCATGATTGCTAGTCTTGAATCACCTAAAGCATTATTAATTGTTCATTAGTAAGTGATAGTAATGTTTGTTCATTAGTAAGTGATAGTAATGTTTGTTCATTAGTAAGTGATAGTAGGGTTTGTTCATTAGTAAGTGATAGTAATTTTTGTTCATTAGTAAGTGATAGTAATGTTTGTTCATTAGTAAGTGATAGTAATGTATGTTCATTAGTGAGTGATAGTTAATGGTTGGTTACATGTAATGCATGTTTATTATGTCGCCAACTATTAGTGAAATCCTAGTAATGCTAATAGCAGTGAACCAATTATTAGTAAATTAGTGACATGCAACCAATTACTTCTATATGGCAATATTTAAGCAACTATTTTACAATGATCATCCTATCCCTATTGGTACAATGTGGTGCTTCAGTTCGTTAGCTAACTTGGTTTATAACTCTATATAACAGCTACGAATTATGATTATGATCGATAACAATGATAATATATCGAACTAGTTAATGGGATTATAAACCAACGAACATAACTTTGGGGGCACCACATCGTAAATAGCCTCTGGCAATCAAACGTGGCAATTGAACATCACCAATTTATATGATTTTCTCAGCTGTAAACCTCCATTTTAGTTCGGCAATTTTCCAGCCATCAATTTTTCCATCTTATATGGGCTTTTCCATTTAATTCGTAAAATTATGGCCAGATTTAACCTCAATTGATAATTTACCTATCCCAATTGATCATCTTCCAATTGGAAAAACTCTAGTTTACCAATGATCTGGGTAAATTATAATAATTCACTCACCTGAATCTTGCGGCCATTTGGGGATGATTTCCCTTACTAACCATGATCATCCTACCCCGGTCTCGCCCGGTGGCCCCTCGTTGCGTCGCGCACCATGCTCCTGCGTGGCCAGTTCAGGCTCCGCAGCCGGGTCCCAGAGCCGATGCGTCACGGGCTTCAGGAAGCCGTAGCTCTTCACCTGGCCGTTGTTCCGAAAAAGAAACACCAGAGACGTGCTGATTTCTGCAGCAAAAATCGGAATTTCAAGCTGTAGAATGATCAGAATGGGGGGTTGAAGAGCAAAAACCTATCTGATTGAGTTGAAAAGACATGCAGAAGAATTTTTTTTTGAGCGGACAAAAATTATACAGAGTTTGAGCTGCAAACAAGTGGAGCGATTGTATTTTGAGCTGCAAAAAATAGGAAAGAAACGGATTTTGAGCTAAATGAGTTAACAGTTGCCACAAATCGCTCAAGTTTTGTTATGTTTCACCAACAAAAAAGGATTTGCTTGAGCACCAAAGTTAGGATTTCAATGGATTCACTCAACAAAATTGTGGCTCAAAAAGTCTCAAAAAGTTGGTTCTTTAACGTGGAAAAATGGGGAGTCAGGGGAGGAAGGAAGTTGGGATATTTCATCTGTAAAATACTGTAAAAGTGGGGACGTACCCCTCAAACTGGAAGCATTCACCAAAACATCTTGGAATCTCAGGAAAATGTGCTGGATTCCAAGCTGCAGATTTCAGAACCATGGGAACCGAAGAACTGGCTTAGTTGAAGGGAAAATCTAAAGTAATGGTGAAGAATTTCCCACGAATTTTGGTTTTCATTTCAAACTCACACGGGTGGCAGTTGGAGAAGTTGATCAAAACCTTGCGAACTCACCATGTTTGCCGGGCTAAATCGATCATTGACGACCAACTCCCATCCTTTGTTGGTTAGCATGTTAAACTCCCACGAATGTGGGTAAAACAATGACATTTGCACCATCCCCCAGTCATCACCATTTTTATAGGTGGTATGTTTACCATTCCCAGTCATGGGTGGTGCCAATGGCATTTGCCGCTTTAACCACATTATTTGCTAAATCCACTCAAATCCCAATTGATGTCGACTAAAATCCGTATGTCTTTCTTCTTTTCGCAGTCGAAACAAAACCCAAGTTGGGCTCAAAAAAAAACTCACCTGGATGTCCAGTTGCCGTTGCAAACACAAGGCAAAGATCACGTCCTCCGATGGCAGAAACCAATGAGGTGAACCCTGTGCTTCCGGGAAACCAATCTTCAATGATTCTGTTGAGCAAAATTCGATGAAGACGTTTGCCTCGATGTGAAGCAAAGCCCAAAGCCCAGGTTTGCTGTTTTATTCGTCGGGAAAAAACAAAGACATAGTCATTGGATGCCATGGGTCTTCTGCAACTTGTCACCACTGGCTGCTACAATCCATTTATCTGGTCATTGGAAATTGGTCCCAGCTGTCAGCTGTTTTGGGCTCCCAAATTCTTCTCTCCGATATGCACTCCTCCATGGCGTCCCCGCTGGTCATTTCCAACATATCCTCCTCGGCCATGGCTGGGACTGGGGACCCATGGCTGGAATGTGGAGATGACGCAACCGTGATGGTATCTCGGCGAATTCATTACCCTCTGGTAATTTCAAACAGCCATGGAAAATGATCCATTTATAGATGATTTGCCTAGGAAAAATGGAAAAGTGCTCACGGATTTTCCATAGCTATGTTCAAATACCGGGTATAGTAATCGCTATAGAGAACTCGAAAGATAGAAAAACCATACACACCTCAAGATGGACACTTTGGGGAGGATTCCCACCGGAGAGATCCCTATCTCGCTATGACGATCCTACATTGAAGGCATCCCCTGTCAAAGGACACACATACAGGATTTGTATCAATCATGGCAGGCCGGCTGTACCCTGAAACCAAATTAACATGTTGTGCGGTCAAATTGGAAGAACCATGCTGCTTCACAATATGTTTGCGTCTTCCACAATGGAAAACCCTTGAAAAAAGGTGTCTTTGTCTCAGAAACAAGACAGACCAAAAAGTATTCGAGAATTCGGGTATTCGCTTTGAACGGAAATCATTCTGACGATACACCCAGTACTCATCAGCTATGTTCGCATCATCAAATTTGGCGGTATGACGGCAAATTGAGCATCCTTGAAATCACCCAAGTGCTACTGTTCACATGTCAACAATTCTGATCTCCTTAAGTTGTCTCCAATAACTCTTTCTGACATGTTTTCCGACCCAGTACCTGGTATGTACACTCTAAAATATGGTCCGTTGTCTTGCTCAGCAGCAACAAGCTTCGGTTTTTCACTGGGCTTCCCCAACCAAGCACGCAGGCGCCGAAGCCCGAATTTTGGGCAGCAGCCCGCGGCTCACCATGTAACCTGCCCATTTTGAGATAGACCCAAGGCGGACTTCCACTTAAAAACAGCAAGCCAGCTAAGACAAAGAAAATGCAAAGATCCTCCAAAGATATGAACAACAATAAGCACGAAAAACATCGGAAAAACAATCATCATCATCATCATCATCATCATCATCACCTTGCCTGATCCCCCATGGGCAAAATATAGCGCGGACCACCTGAGCGATGTGAACAAGGCAACAGCCTAGCTGGGTGAGTCATACGATTCGAAAGGTGCCGTGGAAAACGGAGTCCTTTGCTTGACCTCAAACTGACCGTTTACATATGGAGAAAAATGGTCCTTACTTCAATGGATTGCTTTAAGGAACATGGGGGGTTCCGGTTTCAATTTTCCCTTCAACAAATCCATTGACTATCATATGTGGTGATGAAATCGAATTACCATCTGGTTATTTAACATAGCCATGGAAAATGGCCCATTTATAGATGGTTTACCTGGGTTTACCTATTAAAAATGGTAATTTTCCATGGCTATGTTAGTCATAACCAGAGGGTAATTCACCATGTTGACTTGCTGAAAATTCCCATCAGATCCCCCCAAAACCTTCCATAAAATCTCAGATTTCATCCCATCGGAATCATGTTTCACATCTTCCCATAGAAATCTCATCAAAATCCCATTAAAATGTCCTTCAATGGTGGTTTCCTAAAATGGAGGTACCCCCAGTTGTCATCCATTTTATTTTGGGATCTTCCATGAAGTAAACCATCCAGCTGTTGGTAATCACCCTCATGACTATGGAAACCCTTACCCTCTGGTAAACGTTTGCATAACTATGGAAAATCACCATTTTAACGATGTAAATCAACTATGTCTATGGCCATTTCCCAGTTCGCAAACTGTTAGTCTACCAGAGGGTATATCTATTATATAATATATACAAAATATCCTATTGAATCCCATTAAACCCCATTAAACCAACAACATATCCAACAACATTTCCAACTTATATCCATGATATTCCCATGAAACCCATTAAATCCCAAGTATATAAATCCCATTAAATCCCATTAAAATCCCATTAAAATCCCATTAAAATCCCATTAAAATCCCATTAAATCCCATTAAACCACCATTTTCCTATGGTTTTCCTATGGTTTTCCTTAAATCCCAATGAAATCCAAAAAAAAACCAGAGGCTCAATCCGGACCGCTGATCCTGGCTCCCAGCCCAAGCGACATCTCGCGGAGATGCCGCGGTGGAACGATGGCGTGCACAGCGCCTCGTGGACGCCCCAAAAAAAAACGTGGAAAATCACCAGAGGTTTATGTGGTTTAATGATGATTAATGGTTATGAATGGTGAATTCATGTTCCAAACCACCAACCAGATGATATCAGGAAATGGTAAACTTACCCTCTGGTTATGTCAAAATAGCTATTGAAAATGGCCATAGAAATAGTGAGTTTTCCCATTAAAAATGGTGATTTTCCATAGCTATGTTAGTTTACCAGAGGTGTATGTGGTTTAATGATGATTTCATCAATGGGAATTCCAGGATCCTAAAATGGAGGTACTGTACCATATAAGGCAATATCTTGTGGGGATATTCCCTGAAATTTAGGCCTTATATATATGGTAGGTACCTCCAATTGAGGTTCCTGAAATGGCCATTGATTTCATGGTTTAACAATGGGTTAACCACTATAAATGGTGATGAATAATGGTTATGAATGGTGCCAAATGGGTTAACAAGTGTGAATAATGGAATGATATATGATATACCCCCTGGTAAACTAACAGTTTGCTATTGAAAATGACCCATTTATAGTTGATTTACCCATTGAATATCGTGATTTTCCATGATTTTCCATAGTTATGTAAACGTTTACCAGAGGCTAAATTTATCATGTCTGGTTGGTGGTTTCAACCCCTCTGAAAAATGTGAAAGTCAGTTAGGATGATTTTTCCCAATATATGGAAATATACAATGCATGTTCCAAACCACCAACAAGTAATGGTAATTCTAATGATACAATATAATACCAATAGTTTGCAATTATTTAATATCTAATTACAACTTGTTATTTGTTATTGTACTATTATAACTATATATCTAATAGTAATAATAATGATAATTTTGATATATTCAATCTTAACCAAAACTGATGTATATTAAATATTGATAACACTGATAATAATGATAATTTACAATAAGCGGTTAATATCATTAATAGTCTTAAAAATAATAGTACAATAAACATATATCAATTTAGTATGATTAATCTGAATAATAATAACATATTAATTTCATCATTTGGGAGTATAGCATTACTCATACTATTCATATACAAGAGTGAATATCATTGTTATGAGTTGTTAGTTATAAGTATTATTTGGGTTTGATGATGATCAGTAAAAAAGAATAATAATAGTAATATTGATGGTTACAATGATTTGAGGTTGTCATTAACCCTAATTTGTTATCATTAGTACTGAAGTGCCCAATCAGTTATCATAATCATCTTTAGTGACATCAGTATTAAAACTATGATGGGGGGGCAAAGGCAAGTTAGACCAACAGTGAAAGATAAATGACAACAATAATAACATTGCGATATATCACAGATAGGGTCACATAGTAACGTGGTCGAAACAAAACATGATAATGATAAATAAAATATCATAGTAAATATAGATAATATAATATAGATACTGATCCTAGCAGTTCTTAATTGTGAGTAGTCGTGAGTAATCGTGAGTAATCGAGAGCAGGGCCCTAAAAAGTACGGCCCTGCTGGGCCCTAAAAGGTTTGTAGGGCCCTAAAAGGTTTGTAAGGCCCTAAAAGGTACACATAGCGGCTCAAAAATCGTGAGAAATCGTGAGTGAACATTGCTATAAACCCTCGGCCGTGGAACCCATGACATCGCTATAAACCCTCGGCCGTGGAATCCAATAACATTGCTATAAACTCTCCGCCGTAGAACCTCGGCATTGCTATTTTTTCCCGGCCATGATGCTTTTAGGGTTACCCAAATCAATAGGATCAAAACAGCTCAAGCGGAGATATTACTAATCGCCAGGACCAGCACAAAAGAGTGTATGTTGGATGAAAAGACCCGCAACTCAACTAGACACAACTGAGAACTGGTGACATCCCAAAAATATTCATCATTATTCATCTATGAACCCACAAATAGAACAGGACAGAAGGATCCAGGATGGAAAATACATGTTCTTTACCTCGTACTTTATACAGTCTCCTTATGTCTCCTTTCTATTTTGGGAGTGCCCTATAAATGGTGGGTGATTGGGATATTTTCGCTACGCAGCTACATGCCTTGCCGGTGCATCCCAACTCGCCACTTCTCATGGAGGAGCCATGGGATTTTGGGGTAGCCGATTTTCAAACAAACCCATATAGATTCATATAGATCCTAGATAAATAGTGGATATACCCCAGTGGTGTTTAAGATATTACCCTCTGGTAAACTAACGTAACTATGGAAAATCACCATTTTTAATGGGAAAACTCACTATAAATGACCATGTTCAATAGCTATGTTAAATTACCAGAGGGTATTCACTGCCAACCGAGCTGACCGAGCAGCCGCTAAATCTCAGCTTCCCAACCGAAGAAATGTTCCTCAGCACTGTCGAAGCACTGCAAACGATCGCTGACGGCTCGCCTTATGCCACGGCGCGCCGCTGAAAGCGGCGCGCTTTTGGTGACTTCGACTGACCCATCGACAATGCGTGAGATGCAACCAACCTACAAGGTGGTGCCCCCTAGATAGCTAAGTTGGTTTATAACTCCAATAACTATGGTTTATAGGTTATATATCTATAGTTAATGGGGTTTATAAACCAATTTATAACTAGGGGGGCACCACCTTGTACCATCCACAATGTCTCAGGCTCTCAAGTGAAAGTGACCCTATCTGCAAGGTCACAAGCCTCGCTTTTTTGTGGTCCACAAGTGGCTTGTGAAATTCTCGCTATTTCTTCGTTTCACAAGATTTCAGAACTTGAAACAGGGCCATAGAGTTGCCAGTGTCGAACTATGAACTGGCAAAAAACATCTTTTCCAAGTTTGGAAAAAACTCAAATGGTGGATCTTCCATGGTCTTCCAACTTAATTCACCTGCAAACTTGCCGATTTTCTACAGGTCCCTCCGTCTCCACTGCTTCGACAGCACCGAGTCGCAAGTTGACGTAGGTGTCCGAATCTGCCTCACGATACTTTGTCGCCAAAGAATGAGGAGATTGATGGTAAATCATGTGATTTTGGGCCCTATTTTCCTCATTCCGGTGGAATATTGAGCATCGGCCAAGCAGTGGAAACACCCAAGTCGTGACGGATTCTGCAAAACAAACTGCCATCGCTAGTTGGAGGTCTGTCCCTCTGGCAAAGGTTGGTCAGGTTGGTCACCATGGTCATGTTCCTTCGATTCCTGTGGATATTGTAAGCCATCTTTTAAGCCACATGGATTTCTGTGACAGTGAGAATGTTCAATGTTTAAAAAAAAACTTTACCTTTGGTGAAAATTGCTGGTAAAGGGTTTTTTGATGCTAAACATCCATAAATTCTTGGTGACCAAAAATTGCTCGTTAACAATGGATGTTAATCGATGGATCCAATTTGTCTTGATCCCTAGCTTCAGAACAGCTTCCACAGAGCTCCCACAGCTCGATGATCCGCTGCCTTCATGACCCAATCACATGACCGGTCTTCGCTGAAATAGTGCCAAATCTTCAAGATCTCAGTGACGCAAAACGGCAATCTCTAGCGCTGGGGAGAAAACAGAGGTGTTTTTTGATGTATGCTGAGCAGCTCGACTGTGTAAATAGATGTATATGATATACAGTATGCATATAAATATATGTTGTTTTATTTTAGCAGTAGCTACGTACGTATATATGTATACATGTATGTATAGGTGTATGTATGTATGTATATATATATATATGTATATATACATATATATATATATACAGAGAGAGAGAGAGAAAGAATATATATATATATATGTATATTCCAACATTACATGTATACACATGCATACATACAAATGTATGTGGGTGTGTGTGCGTAGATGCAGCGAGAATCTGGGGGGCTTAATGTTGTGGAATTCATCCAGTCCCCTGTTCAAATGTAGTAATTATCCTATCAGGATGAAATGTGGTTGATCGATGTTTGTTCCATCCGATGTTTCAAATCAAGCCACTTCAAGCCACTTCAAGCCACAATCTCTGTAGATCAAAGTCGTTTCATGTTTTCGCATTCGAAGTCAAAGAACTGCTCCATGTCAGTTCTGGGTAATTTTCCTGCATCCCAATTACTCAGTGGGTACCCAAATGAAATCATCCGGTTGCATAAGGCACGTATCTCAGTTACGATCCGTGGGGTAAAAAATTGCATGTTAGTTCACCCACTTATAAATGAGATAGCCACTAATCCCTGACCCTGATACCAAACACTCCCAAAGACGATGTTTCAGTAGGGGATTTACACATATCACCAGAATATGCTGGTTTCTGAAGTCATGGGGTCCAAGTCACCATGGTTGTAAAACAATACTACCATCTGGTTATTTGTTACATAGCCATGGAAAGATCCACCATGCTATTAAGAACGGTAAACCATCTATTTCGATTAGGGCCATCGAAAAACCATGGCGAACTGTTAGGAAAATAACCAGGTTGGGTAAATCCCATTAGATCACCATTAGTCACCACCATTAGGTCATCACCCATATTTTCCATGGCTTTTCATGGCTTTAAATCAACATAACCAGGACATTTCGCCATGGCTCGCCATGGCTCGCCATGGCTCGCCATGGCCGGTGGGTGTCCCGGTGGCCGCCGGGTGTCCCGGCTCTCACGGGCAGGCGTTTATAGCCCACCTCTAAATCTCCAGGCACATGCACTGTGTAGGCTTCCAGAGGCGTCCTGGGATGATGCGTTTTGAACGGACCCGGGTCCTGCTTGCTGGGCTATACCTAGCCATGGTATAGATGGCCCATAGAAATAGATGGTTTACCTATCAAAAACGGTAATATAATATAATATCTGGTTGGTGGGGTATGCCTACCCCGAAAAATGATGAAGTGAGTGAAAGTCAGTTGGGATGATTTTCCATTACCGAATGGAAAGTCAGAATCCATTCCATGGTTCCAAACCACCAACCAGCTTAAAATTAAAGACACAAAAAAAACATGGGATTCTGCGGCTCATCATGGTTTGAAAACCCCTGAATTCTTGAATTCGTTCTGACCCATACCATGAAATAGTCATCGGAACAATGATTCACCATCCAATTCTCAATAAGGTGGTGGATTGCAGGCACTGGTCCCTCGTGTGCTGCCCACGCTGACGAAGAAAACACGAGCACCTGAGCGGCGGCTGATAAATGCCAAGAAATATGGCAAGCCAATAAGATGAATTTGATGTTAAGTCCAAAGCAGTAATAAGTTGGAATTAAACATTGGTGATTTTACCAAGCAAAATGCCGATCTTACAATGGTAAAATCAATGATACTTGTTATATCCAGTAGTTTAACACCGATTTTTACCAAGCAAAATGACTACTGGATATAACCAGTCAAAAGGGTGATGTTAGCATCAACAATGCATGTCGACGATGTACCCTGAGATGCGGTTGCGAAATTTTACCACCAAGCGCAAAGAATTCTCTGCATATATCCAAGCATATGTACTACATGTGAGTGTGTCTTACCGATATAATGTATATATATATTTATATTTACATTTATTTATTTATTTATTTAATTATTTATTTATTTATTTATATGCATATAGAAATGTATTGCAAATGTACCAATAGATGATACAGTGATACACGTTTGCCCTTAAAAGCTACAGAAAAGTGGAGCGGCTTTGGGATTGGACATATCTCCCAGAATGCGAACTCACCAGTTGTGCGAGGAAAAACGCGTCCCTGTTCGATCTCCATCAAATTTTCATGAACTTCAAACCCAAATTACCCTCTGGTAAACGTTTACATAACTATGGAAAGATCCACCATTTTTTTAATAGGAAAATCTACTATTTTGACATAACCAGAGGGTAACATGATAAAATCTCCAAGTTTCATCATGTTTTCATGGTGAATCCGAAGCTTCAGCATGGATGAAAACTCCGGCGCAGCGAAGCGCAGCGAGCCGCGCGCGCCTGCCCTTCGCTGCAGCTCCTCCTTCGCCCAGGTCTTAAGTGCTGCAATGGACAGCGCAGCATCCTGGCGGAATCTCACCAAATAGAGGATTTCACCGTGAAAAAATGGCATTCAATGGCGACATCATCCAAAAATGATGGATTTATGAGGATTTATGGAACTACCCTCCGGTAATTTGTTACAGTTTGCTATGGAAAATCATCCATTTAGTTCGATAGTCTATAGATGATTTACCTGTATATATATATATATATATGTATGTATGTATGTAATTTATGTATGTAATTTATGTATGTATGTATGTATGTATGTATGTATGTATGTATGTATGTATGTATGTATATTATATGTATATTATATGTATATTATATGTATATATAATGATGGTTTTCCACAGCTATGCTAAATTCACAGAGGGTCACCATCCAAAATGATGTGTTCAACCATCAGAACTTGCATTTTACCACCAAAAGTATCGTATCATGGTATCATGGTCGTAATGGTGATTTTTGCTGTGAACCATGAAACATGTTGGACAATTGTGGTGGAAAATTGGGATTTACCCTCTGGTAAACTAACATAACTATGGAAAATCACCATGTTTAATGGGCAAATCAACTATTTCTATGGCAATTTTCAATAGCTTTTTGTATGTTTACCGGGCCGGGTAACCATGAACAATTGAGGTTTAACCATGAAGAATTGGATATTTGGTGGAAAGTTCAGAATCGCTTCGTGCTGGGGCTATGGAAGATATGTCATGATCATGATCCATAAAGTTCACTGCGTAAAAATCAACCCAGAAATATACCCTCTGGTAAACGTTTACATAGCTATTAATAATTGCCATAGAAATAGTGGATTTACCCATTAAGAATTGTGATTTTCCATAGTTTGGTAAACGTTTACCAGAGGGTAAGTGGGGGGCATCACATTGTTGGAGCTATCATGGCCAAGTCGATGCTACCAGACTGTGTCACTTAGTTTTGCTTAGTAAATTCAGCTGGAAAAATCATGAAAAATCACCTGCTTGGAGCAAATCCTCCAATGGTCATGACTGGAGTCATACTGGGTCCATGTATATGTATAGAGTCTATATAATCTATATAGTATATAAATGATTAAGTAAATGATATTAAATGGATCGAAATGGGGATAGGCAACCAAAGTTCTTCAGAGATTTTCTGCAACCATATTGAGTGGAGTTCCGTTCTTTGATGGACAAGCCACAACTGTGGGGTTACGTCCAAGGCCAAGGTTGAAAACACAACTTTAAAACCAGCAACCACTACTTGAGTGCAAAACATTGCAAAACAATAGCACTAATGTGCTATAGACATCCTCAGACTTCAGACCAACATTTCTATGGATTCAAACTAGGTGTCTCTCAGACTGAGAAGAAAAAAATCAAAGCTATCCAAAAATTTCGCACCAATGGACTCCATGGACCTCACTCTCATGATTTCTGACGTCTCCCCTAAGTTCGTTGTTTTTACAACGAAACCCTGGGGTTTTGCGGGTGTTCTCCGCCTCATCCCCAACGAGCCTTCTTGGAGCGCTCACTGATGGGAATGAAGACGCAGAGATGTGTTCCTTAGATTTCGGGAAACAATTTTCAACGAACCTATTTGCAAATATTTGCAATAGTTGGTGAATTTGGGTTGATGTTGGTATGATGTTGCAACATATGGTGCTGTGATATGGTGTCATCTCGTTGCTTGTCCATCCATTCAGAAAGCGGAGATATTTTCACCTGGTCCAGCCTGGTCCAGAACCACTGGGAAAGATGGCGATCCAACATAACTGAAACTTTGAACCCATGGGGGATAGCTTCACGGAATTTCACCCACAGAAACGGTATGGGGAATAAATAGCTTCAAATAGTGGGAATAGTATGAACTGTCTTTTCCACACCAAGAACGGGGATATTCATCAACAGTGGGTTCATAGGGGCGGGTCGAGACTAGGGACTTAAACACAGAATTGGTAGATGTGTCAAACTTTAGGTTTTTTTTTGACAAAAGCTGAATCCTAAAGTTTGACACATCTACCAATTCTGTGCTTAAGTCCCTTCAAACTTTAGGAGAAAGAACATGACTCACTCTGTTTTTGAAGCAACACGCATGATGGAGAGATTTGAGCAAACAGGGGATGCAGAAATGGGTCGTTTTACGCCCATCAAATTCGGGCGCATTCTTGAGGAAGAGCGGCTGGCGGCCCGGTCCCCAGTGGAAAGGCAATTGTTGATGGAACATGTAATTCACTTGATTCACCAAGAGATTTTGAGACAATCCAATTAAGATATGATAAGATGAATCATCTGTTTATGATAACTATAATAGATTTCATCATCTTCAATTTCATTATAAATTATGATAAATTACCCAGGGTGTGGAAGATGCAAAGCCTGCGGCTCGCGTGCGGCTCACCCCCGAATCCGATCCGCTGGAAGCAATGGAACCAAGTGACTGCCCCAGGCTTCAGCATTGACAACCACAAAGATGGCACACAAAAGGAGCTGCCATAACCTGTGCCGCAACACCCCTGGCATGGTCCAGTTACGCCCAAAAAATTGGATCACCTCTGGCAAACAAACACGATACAAAAACAACTGCTGTCGAATTATATCCCTATTCTTTGTCATAAAGTGTTGGCTTTAACGATATATACCCTCGACAATCCCTCGACTAAGTTTACAGTTTGCTATGGAAAATCAAGATTTAAAAGAGGTAGGTCAACTATCAGTGGGCCATTGAAAAAAAAATAGCAGTGTTAGTTTATTGGAGGCTAACCATGGTCATCCCATGTCATCCCATGTCATCCCAACATGTATGGAATTCCAAACACAATGGGCATAATAATATGAACCGTTATGAATTATGACAGAATACATGAAATCCAACTTTTTTAATAAGAAAAATATAGAATAATAGCATATAGCAATCATAATGATAACGATAACGATAATAGAATATGAAAACTGGACTAGTATTAATATGAATCATATGTAGCAACAATTTTGAAACTATTATTAATTGACAACAACTTAACGAATATAAACACAATTTTAAAAACACAAGAACCATAATTCACCAGGCTGGGTTGGCCCAAGTTTTCCTGTTGCCAGAATTCGTCATTCGTGGTGAATGTGGGGTATATCCCAATGCATCCCACGTAAGGAACCATGGGGTTGTGACCTGAACCACTTTGCCTGACGTCTGGCAACATCGAAGTAGCCGTCCATCGTTTGCTGAATGTTTATCATAATTCACGAGCCTGAATAAAGATGATATTGGTTTGTGAATCCCTGTCCCTGTCCCATCACTTCTACACCTGATTCTGGTTATTTAGTTGGGTACACAAATGGGTCGATGGAGCTAGTTATCTAAACGGGCTATGGGATTTCTTCTCTGATTTCTCTGCTGAGCAAGAGGATGACACAACCCATGAGATTTACCAAGTCATAAGCCTCTGACGACTTCGCGGACTTCCCATGTCAGCAGCAGCCCATGAAATATCCCTACTTACAAAGCATTACAGCAGTTTATGATGCATTTATAATCATGTCTCTTTGTTTCTGGGGATACCTCCTATTTGATTGCAAATAGAACATGACAAAAAATATTGAGATCGGCCTGTGTCGCGAAAAAGCCTGTGCTGAGTGGGATGGCTGTGATTTTTAGGTCGTCTGGCTTCCAAGTATACCTGTTTTTTACAGGACACATTTAGATATCATCATCATCATCATCATCATCATCATACATCCAACATTTCGCCATGGCTGCGTGGCCGAAATGGAAATTGGCCTTTCAGAACATCGTTTTTGCGGGTCGTCGGATCGTTTGCGGTGATTCCCCATCCGATCCACTGCCAGCTGAGTCGGATGCCCGATCCACTAGTGGTAAACCCCAGAAATGAAGCCTCTGCCATGGGTTGTTAGTAATGGTATCCCATTAGTGACTAATGGTAACCACTGGCTAAAGGTGATAGTTACTAAATGAACCCTAATGGTAAATCCGAGTAATTATCTGGGTTGTAATTTAGTCTGCCACCTTAACAACATTAATATCATGCGTGTCTGAACATGGGTATACCCATAAAGGGCGGTTTAAGTGGCAAAATGGTGATTAAGCAGCGGATTTGTTCGGTTGTTCCAAGTCGTTCCCAAAATTTCCAGACAGACCAGATCCCTTCTCCAACACAAACACGCAGCCAGAAACCCAACTGCAAAGTGGGAACTTGGCATATCCCCTGAAATTTACTATGGAACCCAATTTGATAGCCAGGGGTCCAATCGTAAGGCATCTTTCACGACATAGTAGCCCAAAGGTTCCTAATGCTAGTTCAGTTCAGCCATTACAAAATAACCTGGTTAATTAGTTCATATAGGGACTTATACACCCTACTTTAGTGGATTGGGGATTATGATAACCATGGATAAGCCACAGTAGAGAAACCATGTTCAATATTTCATGAGAAGGGAAAACGGAGTATTTTCAATGGCTCAGTTGCTGTCTTTGACCGAACTACTTGGGATATCTGGCTTTACTACATGAGTCAAAGCCTGGTACCCGGATGGTACCCGGATGGTACCCGGCTAGTCATAGCTGGTTATGGCTACGTCCATCAAATATGCTACAGCTATAAGCCCATCTATAAGCCCATCTATAACCAGCTATAACCCCATCTATAACCAGTCATAGCTGGTTATAGCTACCCCATTTCATAGCTTTTGACCCATCCCCATCTTCAGCCCTGGGCTGGGCTTTCCTGCATGGGATGATCTAAGGTGAACGGCCATGGCGCAGGCTGGCGCAGCTACCCGGTAGGTTTTTTGGTTTAGGTACCGTTTAGGCCATGCGGTGGGTGCCCCCCATGTTTATAGCTTTGTAACCCCCATGAACTATACGTACTTGTAAGATCTTGTAAGTATCATGAAGCCTAGTTTAGTTGGACAAAAATGGCACCAACTTAGCTATCGTTTGGGATCCCCACTTTGTACTGAAGGTCTAAGTACAGTCAGTTGCGATGCAGCAATTCTTCCACACTCAGCCGTCAATCCAAAACAGTCACAAGGGACTCAAGGGTGGATATTAAGGAAACATAAGAATAGATAAATTGAGATATATGATATAAGTTACCCTCTGGTAAACTAACATAACTATGGAAAATCACCATTTTTCATGGGAAAATTCACTATAAATGGTGATTTCCCATAATTATGTTAGTTTACCAGAGGGTAAATTGAGATAGGAGCACCATGGGTGTTCCACATCTAGTTGGATGCCCATCGTCGGTCAACCCTGCGGTGCAGTGCCCTGTTGTGCCCAGAAGCTGACATAGCTGCATCATGTGCAAAACAAATATATACATGCAAGGTGATGCCCCTGTTCGTCAACTACTGTTTCACTAGGGTTTGTGCAGATATTTTGACATAGTTGTTGGGGTGTAGAAACCAACAAACACAATTGGGAGGCACCACCTTGCGTGTGTATACATAATTGGATATCAGAAAAACATGTCATAGGCACAAGATCTTGGTCCAACTTGGTCCAATTGTCCAATTCCAGGAACATCATATCCGCCTGATGTAGGACTTCTCAGGAAGACTTCGAAGTCATCACTCACAGCTCCGATCGACCAGAAGAGCACACCGGTCAATGGATCGATTTCATGAAAAACATCGACAGGAAAGCAGCGTTTTTACTCCCAATTGATTGGGGGTTCCTGTAGTTTTTCCCGAAAACATCCTAAAACCAATTCTGGGAAGTGACGCCCTTGAGATGGGTGTGTACGAAAATTGGATATACCACATTTATGGTTGAAGGAAAAAATGAGGATAAACCGGATAAACCTGATTTTGGGGTACCCCATTTTCAGAAAGTATATCCAGGTCTTGAATATAAATATATAAGTGTCTGAAAATTACGGTAAAATTACGGTAAAACACGAAAATCCTAGATTCCTTTAGCACATTTAGGATAGGTTTTTCATGGTTTTTCTACCTTTGATCTTTGGAATAGGCTCAAGAAATCATCCCAATAGAGGCGTTGAACCAGTACCCTGTTGATGTCATGGCCCCCAAAAGGGCCCTGGTTGGGTAAACGATGGCCTTGGTCCACGAAAAACGATGGCCTGGGTTGATAAGTTACTTGGGTTGTCGCTACCCTCTGGTTATGTCAAAATAGCTATTGAAAATGGCCATTTATAGTGAGTTTTCCCATTAAAAATGGTGATTTTCCATAGTTATGTTAGTTTACCAGAGGGTAATTATCATGGGTTGTGATTGCTTTTTTGCACTTTCCCTCCAGATTACATAGACCCTGCCAGGGGTTGGTTCATAGTAGTGTCCACTAAAGATTGGTGATTTTCAGGGTCAAACTCTTTATTTACCAGATACATTTCTTGCATTTACCATTGTAATTATCACTGAGTCAGCCCTCCCCTTCCGAACTGTTCTTCCCATCCGGAATCCGGTGCCGTGTCTCTGCGGCTGCCGGCCGACATGACACTGCATCCCCCAGTCATTCAGAAGGATGCGAGAAGGGGAAACCGCCATGAACCTAAAAAGAACGTGAATCATTAGTTTGAGTTACTCCCCGGGGAAAATCCCCTTAAAATCTTCGTGGATCATTGGTTTTTTAACGACCAGGAAATAGCTGGTCAACTCCAGGATGTTGCTGCTTGGTAAACTCAGCACATCTAATTAAGGTATCATGAGAATAGTAGCCATTACTAGTGGGACATGACTGATTCAGTAATGTTTAGTACAATAGTGTACCACCTATCATCATTTACCTGTTGTTAAAGGGGTTTCTTCAAACCCCTCTATTAATCAACCAACAATGGGAAAAGGACATCTATGGTTTAGTACCAAGCTACAATGACCATGGAACAATGACCATGGCCTGCTACCGGTAAGACGTGTGCCTCACGACAGGTTGAAAATTCGTAGTGCGGAGGATCATCCCACGGCTCGTTTTTTCTGGTTAGTAGCCATAGTTATGACCCATCTGTATATGGAATGAGCCACTCAGTTTTATCTGTTTGGTGAATATGTTATGTTATTATGATATTATGTCTGTCTATCTATCTATCTATCTAACTAATCTAATCCAATCTAATCTAATCTAATCAATCTAATCTAATCCTATCCTATCCTATCTATCTAACTATCTATCTATCTAATCTAATCTCATCTCATCTCATCTCATCTAATCTAATCTATCCAATCCTATCCTATCCTATCCTATCCTATCCATCTATCTATCTATCGAGCTTATGAACCAATCTGAAAACCTTGGGGGCCACTTCTGCTGGAATGGTCTCGGAACTGCTGAGCTGGAAACTCCATTTCTTGGCTATGGGTCAAAACATCTATTTATCCTGGTGAACATCAAAATAGTTGAAGGTGAATGAAGAAAATCATCCTCCAAACTACATAGCAGGACTGGATTCCGAATTAAAACCCACGTTTCCCCCGTAATAATTGTTGTTGAATCCATCCGAATTAAAACCTGTCGCGTCGGCCGGCGAACCACTTGGGCAGGAAATCGCGTGCGAACGTCATCGGTGGGCACCCAGGAATTTTCAAAGCCTGACCCATTGGAACACCATCTGGCTGCGCGAAAGGGCTGCGCAAGCCACCCCGATCCCCACCTGAAGCTTCATGCAGCAATATCCAAAAACATAAGACAGACTTGGATGATCTTCCAGTTCAAGACTTAAGTTTAAAAAAACAATGACAAACAAGAAATCTTTGGAACGATGAGAAACCAGGCAACAAGTTGGCTGACGCAAGCCCTTTTCGTGCCAGGCACGACAAGACTCGTGTTCCGTCTTGTTCCTCCTTGTTCCATCTTGTGCACCGCAGATCGCTCAGGGATGGCCACATTAGGGATGCAAAGTTGCTGAATCTTCCCCCAAGAAATGGGCACTGAGTCACTAAAAGAAATGGGAAATACTAAGACGTCACAAGTTCAATTGGGCCACGAAGGGAGAAAACTAGTTTATGGACTTTAGCGGCTAAGGTTTAGTCAACATATACCCATCATTTCTCATTTCCTCATTGTGTTCATTCACATTTGTGACATCGCCAAAGTATCCCAAAGTGATCTGTCGCCCTGTCGTTTTCTGATGAGGTATCTTACATGGCAAGTAATATTGATGGATTATTTCGATATAATATAGTATAACATACCATAAAATAACATAACATAATATAATATAATATAACACAACATAACATAACATAACATAATATAACATAACACGATATAACATAACATAACATAATATAACATAACATAACATAATATAATATAATATAATATAACACAACATAACATAACATAATATAATATAATATAACATAACAGAACGTAAAATAACATAACATAACGTAAAATAACATAACATAACGTAAAATAACATAACATAACATGACATAATATAACATAACATGACATAGTATAACATCACATAACATAATATAATATAATATAATATAACATAACATACGTATAGATATGCATATGCATGTGTGTATGGATTTCCTGTCACAAAAAATCGCGATCTTCAACCCCATAGGGAGGGCCCAACAAGTCCATCACCTCGTCTCAGCAGTTGTCCTGGAAGATGTGTGTATGACGGATAGGTGGATGGATGGATGGATGGATGGATGGAAGGATTGAAAGATTGAAAGATTGAAAGATTGAAAGATTGAAAGATTGAAAGATTGAAAGATTGAAAGATTGGAAGATTGGAAGATTGAAAGATTGAAAGATTGGAAGATTGAAAGATAGAAAGATTGAAAGATTGAAAGATTGAAAGATTGAAAGATTGGAAGATTGATAGGTTGATAGGTTGATAGGTTGATAGATTGATAGGTTGATAGGTTGATAGGTTGATTAAATAGCTGGATATCTAGATAGAGCTAGATAGTTCGATAGCTAGATAGCTAGATAGCTTGCTAGCTTGATAGCTAGATAAATACGTGTATATATGTATACATCATAAATATATATATATATATATATCTGTCTGCCTGTTTCAATCTCCGATCATTTTTGCATCCGATGATCGATCTTTCTGCATTTTTCTGCATCTTTGCGTCGCCTTTGCAGCCAGGGCCGTCAAAACTTCCCACAGCTCACTCTGCTTGGCCGTGGGGCCCGCCGAAGTGGCGCCATTGGGTCGAGTTGACCCGATTGGTCCGGCAAGGCAGCAGCGGAACGCGCAGTCCACACCGTGCCGCGTGAATTCGAGCATGGATTTTTGGTGTTTCCAGCATGGTCGGAAATTCTGATGTGAAAATTAATGATGTTCAGAAATCTTGGAAGACATCTGATACTCGCACCCAAGATTCGCGATTTTCGCCGTCGTGGGTTTGCTTCTTTCCCCCTTGTTGCTGAGTGATGCATCATTCCGTTTCCCAACATGATGATGTCAAGCCCAGGATTAATAAAACCCCAGTTTATTAGCCTGAAGAACTGATTTTACTAGTAACTTATCACGATTTTAGGGTAACTCCTCAATTAATAGTCAGGGTTTAGTCTCATCCGGGGTTTGCATTATATATATATAGTATTAATATTAATCATTTGTTGTTAATGGATTGTAATACATATGTGTATATATATGTATATATATATATTAGCTCAGCTTTGCAACCCAACAGCGCAAGGTTCCAGCAAGGTTCCAGGACTGTTCCGGTTCTTCGGGGGGTGCATTTTCGTGTCACAACAAGGCCCCAGAGATTGAAACCCAACAGACCCAACAGATTCGCTGTTGGGAATATACATCAAGGATCATGTTCAGCTATGTTTCTGGCTTAAGCCAGCTGCGAGTCACTTTTTATCTCGCTGGACACACTGACACAAGGTTCGTGGCTCAGAATTCCGACGGTACAATCTCACTGGCATTCTGAAAATTAGAGACCTCTAATATAACGTGTATATATATATTATGGATTCTATGTTCCTATTTCTATGTTCATATATAAATATAATATCTGTATCTATATATATATTATGATACATCATATAATATCATGAGACGTTCTTCAATGGATTTGATTCTCTTGAATTCTGGAATTGTCGCCTATGTGTTTGAAGTGTGTGTTTGAAGAGTGTGTCTTTTTCAACTTGGGGAAGTAAATGATTTAGGATGTGTTTGCATAGATGGTTTTCGTCCTAATATGGACCATCCATGACAGATCAGCAAGGAAGACCCCAGTTGAAGAGACACCCAACTGCACCAGCAAGCAGATGCTTGGAGAACCCTTCAGGTGAAATGGTAGCTGTAACCCTAGTATACCCTAGTAGTATTGGGCTGTTTTTGATGCTATAGCTGTATAGCTGGGAGTAGGGCCCATCGGTGACCAGGTGGCATCGGCCTCGACCGTGTCCGCCGGAGTTCTGAGACGCGTCGCTTGAAGAAAAGCACTGCACTGCGACCTCGACATCGCTCGGTGGTGGAGCCCGCACGCGAGTGGCGAACTAAGTTGGACTATACCCTCTGGTAAACTAACGTAACTATGGAAAATCACCATTTTTAATGGGAAAATCAACTATTTCTATGGCCATTTTCAATAGCTATGTAAGACGATTTCCCCAAAATCCAGTGGTTTATCATTGTCCCAATCAAGATTTACATTGTGGGGTCACCATTTTGTTCAGAGACAAACCAATGCTACTCCAATGTTTTTTGGACGGAACAAATGAGAAACTCCATCTGACTTGCTTTGTTCACGTATCTGGAAGCCAATACAAATGTATTCATACAGTGTGGTCCCCCCCTTTGTGATGTTTCTTTAGTTTATAACCTCCATGAATACTATAGATACATCTACTGTACCATAAACCCAACGTAATGAACCTTGTTAATGGATGTATCTATAGTTAATGGATGTATCTATCTGTTGGTTAACCTTGTTATGAACCAACTTAGCCAACAAACTGGGGCATCACCGAACGCGTCTTTCTGATCCACGACCCCAACGACACCAATAAGTGTTTTTAGGAGTGGGTCCATGACGGCGTGGTACCAACGGAGACCGACACCAGAAATTGTAGGAGATATAGTTGTAGCATACAACCAAAAAAAGTTGCAAAGTAAAATCCTACTAAAATAACTGGGGATTATTGTACCTATATATATATGTGTGTGTGTGTAACTAAAACATTGATAAATTAGTTATCACTAATAAAATCCTACCAAAATAGTGATAAATCACTTTTCTACCTGTCTGGGGATTATTATACTTAGATTGGCCTTGCTTATCCACATTTCCTGGTGAGAGATCAAGAACCCATACTACCTGGAAAATGAAATAAACATACAAATGTGAGGCTTTCATTGAACTGAAACTCTTAAAGTGTATCAATGTGTACATTAAATTGTTGCAAATTGCTTGCAATATCCTACTTCCTATCTATTATTGTATCCTTGAGCAGCTATCTAAAACATTCAAAACCTATTCTGGATTTCTTATACCCAACCTGGCACCCTGGCAATGGAAGACTCTTCGCCTTCGCTTCTATGTGATTTTCACGTTGAAGATTGGGACTTTTCATTGCCAGGTTAGATTGTACAAGTAGGTTTCTTGAACAGAAAAAAAAAACTGAGAAATACACACGCATTGCTTCAACTCCTTCCCACCAAGCGTGAGGTTTGGTGCTTCATGGTGCAGAAAAGCAGCTGGAACTGGAAACCACGGCAAAAAGACAAGATGCTCCATTGCTGTCATTGTGGATACCCTTGGTCATGGTGATTTAACCATGAAACATATTTAAAAATGGTGTGGAATTGGAATTCTTATCATCATTTCTGTTTGTCACCTTGTCTTTCCATATGGCTGGATATACACATGTGTGTATAATATATATTTATATAGGTAGATAGATACACTTATTGTCTATTCAGGGATCCCCACAGAAGGGAATTGATCAAAGTACTTCAATCAAGCAACATTTACCGACCCGGATGTAGGTAAATATTCCATGCATACTGGGTAAACTAGAACACCCTCTGATAATTTAACATAGCTATTGAAAATACCCCCATTTATAGTTGATTTACCTATTCCAAATGGTGATTTTCTATAGTTTTCTGTCAACATTTACCAGGCCGGGAAATTCTCGAATCTGTTTTATATGGTCATCTGAGTCGACTCTGTCCATGGGCCTTTTTTGTGTTTCACACATCCAACTGTAGATATCATGATATCTAGTATACCCTCTGGTTATGTCAAAATAGCTATTGAAAATGGCCATTTATAGTGGATTTTCCCATTGAAAATGGTGATTTTCCATCGTTATGTTAGTTTACCAGAGGGTAATATTATGTATGTATATGTGTACTGTGTATATATATATACATATATCCATGTACAACATGGATAATCCATGTATATATACTGGTTGGTGGTTTCAACCTACCCCTCTGAAAAATATGAGTTCGTCAGTTGGGATTATGAAATTCCCAATATATGGAAAAATAAAATTCATGTTCCAAACCATCAACCACTTATGTATGTATATACTGTATGTGTATGTATATATATATATATCCACCATATATCCAACACTTAGCCTAGCTACAAATCGACTTGCCCACGGGAATCCTTCTTGTAATCCTCAATTCATGGCTAGAACTGAACCAGAAAAAAAGGTTTCAAGAACTTCTTGTGACAATTCTTCAACACCTTCTTTTTGCGTAACTTTCCTGCCGTTGCACCCCAATCGACCTACGGAATGCTGCAAAAAGCGCTCAGCTTTCGCGGATTCGTCCAGAGTTGGTCGAAAATGTCTTTGATTTGGTCTATGACATGGAAACGATTTGCCAAGCTGCCAAGGCACGACATAATCTATATTCATCTATATTCAAGATGGCTGGTGATGCGGATGCTGTTTCCAGTATAGCCGATGCAACTTTTCGGGCGATTCGAACTGGAATCAGTAAGCCTTTTAAGGTACTGGGTTCAGGGGCCTCCCAGTTCTAAGTTGGTGTATCACCCCATACAACTATTTTTAACAGACCAATATCCAAGATAAATCCTGTTCGCCTAGTTAGTTCAACCAACTTCCCTACTGTGGGGTAAAACAATGCCATTTGCAGCATCCCCCAGTCATCACCATTTTTATAGGTGCTATGTTTACCAGTAGTACCGCACAAGGCGGTGGCGGAAGTTTCAAAAATAGGAAACCTATAGGAGAGGTTGGTTGTTGTGAATCAGGGACGGCAGAGCGAAGCCACTGATGGACTGAAAGGTGCTTGATCTCTCTCACTCTTTCTCTGACTATCTACCTGCCTACCTATCTATTTTCTATGTATCTATCTATCTATCGATCTATCTATCTATCTCTCTCTCTCTCTTTCATCTAATTACCCAATCTATCTATCTATCTATCTATCTATCTAGCTG